CCTTTTTGCCATTTTTCGAATGTCGTGTAATCAGGATTCGATTCTCGGCGACAAATGAAATAGCCACGGAGAGATTTAGTGAAGATATACTTCGTTTTTACTTAATCGAATCCTGATTAAGTAAATAGTTTTTAAAATTTTTATAAAAATTAATAATTTTATAATAATAATAATTCCGATGTTTTCTTGTATTTCGACCTCAACAGTTTAACTTATGATTTTTCCTTCTTGAAGGTGGGTTCATCTCAAAAAAACCACCAGTTTTTATCCACACGTTTCGGATTTATTGTAATCCTTCCTCAGGGGAGTTAATGCAATAGTTAAAACACTGGTCGTCATTCATTAATATTTTATAACAGTTTATTTTAAAAAAGAGCCAGTGTGGTACATATTTAAGTCTTTCAGACTCCGAACAAACGTTTTAATATTTTGAACCTTACTTTTATTGCTGTAAACACAAAATTAGATTGCAGTAGTTCTCATTCTTCTCTAAATTAAGACAAAAGGTTTGTTTTGATTAAAAATTTAACTATTATTTATGGTATGGAGAATTATTTACATTTTTAACGTCAAGGAATTTTCGCTCTATTGTCTGTGATAAAAGGGAGTTAGGTATTTTCAGAAGATTTCTAACGAAAAATACTCGATGCGTGAAAGTTTTCCGGCTGTTGGTCAAAAACCATCGGCATTAGCCAAAAACCAGAGAATAAAAACGGGCAATAAAGGAGATATGAGAACGGCAGATCGCATCGAACAGAAAATGTAGGAGCCTCTCGTAATTGGGGGAGGCTGGGATGTGAAAGGCTTGGACCACTTCTCCGGACTCCCATACCGGAACCATTACTTATTGACAGAATTATGCCAACTCTCTCTCTCTCTCTCTCTCTCTCTCTCTCCCTCTCTCTCTCTCTCTCTCTCTCTCTCTCACTCTCTCTCTCTCTCTCTCTCGCCGTCCGTCCGTCATTGTTCTTTAAGTTTAAACATCCCATTCAATCTGATGCAAAATCGTAATCCGTGAAGGATCGCCCCTGCAGAAACCGAGTCAGGAAAAAAAAGGAAATTTGTAGCATAACCGAAGCAAATTAGCTTTCTTCATTGTTTGAGAACGATTTAGAAATCGTTTAAATGCCCGTGCGAAGGCGTTCTGTGAAACCTTACAAATCGTCAATTCTAATCAGCCCAGATTAAATTGAAAATGCTGAAAACAAACGAGATCCGACGCAACGAGCCGGAACGTCCCAACGATCCGGGGGCTTTCATCTAAAGTTCATTTTGTTCAAGCGTTTTGTCCGACCGTCGTGCCGGCCTTGCTCTTTAGCGGCGTGCTTAAGCCGTGTTCCGATACCTCGTTCCCATTAATTTCCTTCGACTCTTGTCTGAAGAGAAACTCGCCTCTTGAAAACTCCTTGATTTACAACGCCTCCTGACATTTTTCCCCCATTGTGAAAGCTCAGCCTTCAAAGGAGAATTGGTTTAGCAAAGGTATGTTTTCTTCAATCAATAAACAATATCGACCAAAGAATAATCAAAAGCCATAAGAGTTTCTAATTTGGCGATAATTAACGCTTAAACTTTCTACGATTTCCAAACTGGTACGGGTCGTTTCTGAAGGGAGCCTGCCTACCCTCGCTGTCTGAGAGGATTGGCGGGGCAGCGATACTACAGTTTTCCCTTTAAAAAAACCGACAACGCCTCATGTACAACTACAAATATTGGTGAAGTGATAAAAAAAAATCTCTTTGCTTTGGTCTTTTCACTAGTATGAATAGCTGTCTATTTTATACAGATTGCTTGTAAATATTGTATTTTTGAAGGAAATAATTTTAAGCATTTAACACAAAGGCTGTATACAAATAAATATTAATCTCAATTCAAGTTGACGAACCATGGTTGACGAGTTGGTGAACTCGTGGTTTACCGGCATACGTCACTTTTTTGGGGGTTTAGTCGCGGGTTAAACTTGCGAGTGAAGACGGACCCAATAAGTGACCCTATGCCGGTGCAGATTCTTAATTTTCAAACATACAAGGTGTTCCAACAAGAAAATACTGATTTGTAATTAATACAATTATCATTTTTTGTCATATACAAAAGGAAATGCTGAGTTATGAATTTACAAACTGTGAAAAGGCAAAAAGAAATGATGAGTTAATGAATTTAATGAACAACAAACTTGAAAACCAACCTTCATAAATTATGTTCTAAAATTTACCATTATAAGGGAGTGAAAATACAAACTTTTCTGATTAGCTAGTAGTTGTTATAAACTTATTCAGTTTTTTTTTCACGAAAATATTTACAAATTGATCCATAATACACTATTAGTCATAATTATTAGATTCAATAATTAATTAATTATGCAAAAACTGATAATTAAGAACGTGACACCAGTGTTAATGAATTGTGAAACTGTTTTCTTTTTGATTCTAAGTACAAATCCTGTGTCACAACATCGTTACATAATGGCCAAAATATAATAATTGACAAACCTCGGTTCTGGCCTGAAGGGAAGTGAACAACCGCAGATTGTTAATTGATCATTTAATGTCATAAAAAATTAAGGGTTGGAGACAATGATTTCTTTTTAATCGGAAGCATGTTTCCCAACTGTTATCCTTTTTTTTTTAACATAATCAATACATTACAATTTAATTTTGAATTTTAACGATAAAAACAATTTCAGGCTTTTATGTGAAAAACTGTCAAGAAATTTGGTGGGAAAAAACTGAAAAAATCAGTGGTTAATATTTCATTTATATGTGGGAATTTTGACAAATTGTTGATATATCACGGATACGAGTTCCATAATTTCTGAACTACTTTCATTACCTTACCTCGAAACGGCACGCACGAAAAATCATTAAACCCTAAAGATATTTTTGTCAGATAATAATTTTACTTTCATTGGGTCTGAATCAAATATAAAAATCCAAACGTGTTACAAAAATCATGTGTGATATATCCTTCAAAAGACTTTACTATCACTTCCGAAACTCCTTGAAGACATAATTCATTATAATTCAATTTAAATAATACAGTAAAAACCTTGGTTTTAAAAAGATATAATCTTTTATGGAAAAATATGGTGTTGAGACCCCGACTATTAAAGGAATTTCATACAATAATGACTAGCATTCAAATTCCAATCATGTCCTTTTTTAATACTTACTTCGTACATCCTTGTTGTGAAGTAAAAATTAAACAATAGAACAAATTTTCAACGGTGTGCTATTATTGGAATTATTTCAATCCGAAAAATACATTTAAATAAATTATTCGTTTCAATAGTTCAGACTTAAGCGGAATCATTTGTATACATCTTTCGTACTATATACTTTCAGGCTGTACCAGTGCTGTTACTTAACGTACTTGATTGTTTGTCGACGTGCCAATCGAGTTCGTTCAAAAGGTTTCCCCCTTCCTGTTGAAGTAGAACATGCTGTAACAACTTACCATTCTAAATCAACAATTAAGTAACAACAATGTGGGAAGTTTAGGAGCCGAAATACACATGCGTGTTTTTTACTTCTTTTTCAAGTCTTTCAATCTGCAGCCATTTGAGCTTTTCATATGTCATTGTCTCTCCTTTTATATGAAAACTAAGTCGATTTTCTAAAATGCTAGCCTTTGATTTGTACCTCAGGTTGTCAACTAAAGAATAGATAACATACAATACATATTATCACTACATAGTCTGGTCACATCTCCCCCAGATAGTCGACATTTCTAGGGTCGGGGATAACCACTGAACTTTATGTATATTCTTTCTAATAAATTAACATAAACACAACAAAATAAATTTTTAAAAAATCTCTATCACTCTGAGATAACCGAAAAGCGATCAGACCTGGCCCAAGATGAATGTCAAAATATGTCAAGCCTTCTATAACTGAAAAGCAAACCAATATTTTATCATTACATTACAAGCACTACGCGGTCGCATTCTGGCCAAAAAGGGCCAGTGTGTCTTACACATTTGTCAATATTGTATGATCTATGCGCAGTCTAGTCAGTATGACCTTTTCCCTTTTCGACCCGTTTCTTTCCTAACCTGCCGCAGGTTGGCAGGGGTAGTTCTATTTTTACCACCCCAGCAGTTCCATTCTCCTTTTACTGTATTTGAAAGTAATAGTTATAAATGTGCTAATGTGCTGGGGTATGTACAGGTTGGGAAGCGTCGTCTGAGTGTTCATTTCGGGCTAACCCACCCCTATGTGCCGGGAACCAACACGACCTCCTTCCCAACTGTGTCGATCCCTTTTCACTGCCTTTTAAAACTTATCTGTTAGATGGTCCACGGAGGCTCTTCTGGATAGCATTGGGCGAGTCGGTACATAATAGAAAAGATTTGTGCTTTTTTACTTTCGATCATGTAAACAATTAATTTTATTTTATTTATTGTTTCTTTAATGCTCTGATAAAATGCCAATAATTTGCTTAATATAACGGCAATTGAACTTAAAAAAAAAATCGGCTCCATTTTATATCCGGTTCGTATTTGGCAACGTCGCATCGTGGACGCACAACCGGTAAAAAAGTCGGATTACATTTATAGAAATGCGGGAGAAAAGAAATTAAAAACGTTTCATAAACGTGGTAAATCATAACGGTGGAAATGATAGAAGAGAAACCGAGTCTAACATAAACACAATCATGGATACTGTATCAGCGTATAGACTTGAATGAAAATTCAGTTGTTACTGACAAGCTTTCGACCTATTTTAAAAGTCATCATCAGGACAAAACAATCTTGAACAACAGATAAATTTTATGTTTTTTACTGGCGATCTCAACTTTCCATGAAGACCGACTCAGTCCTAAAATTAACGAAAGTTGGAGTGGACAGTGCCATTGTAAAGTCGTAGATTTTTACAGTGTATTATACGACAAGAAGTATTCATCTTTCTTAAATTTTTACATAATATAATTTAATTTGTTAAAGTGTGCTCGTTTTTTTTTTTTTTAAACATAAACACTAAGTTTGTTAAAAGCTTTCTTACCTTGGAGTGAAAATGGTGGAAGCTTTGGCGAGTGGAGCAATGGTTGTCACACCTACTCAGAAACACCACCTGCAAAAATAATAAATTTATTTATTCTCACGTTTGTCATAAATCAAATGAATGTAAATTAAGGGAAAAAATTTATGAACATAACGAAGTTCAAAAGCAAAAATGTCACGACCTATTAAATTTTTATCGCAATGAGATATCTTTTTACTTCAATACACGTAAAATATGCTTTTTTCAAAGCTACTTTCCAAGCGTAATTTTTTCCAAATGGTATTGAACATTTTTTCATTTTGCTAATCAAATTGTGCTTTTATTTGATAAAATCAAACCTTTTTCGAACTATGTAAATCGAACTTTTTCCAAACAAAATTTGAAATTTTCCCGGATCAACCTGAGCATTTTTTTATGTATGAGAGGTTTTTTATATTTACAGTAGACTCTCGTTATCCGCGAACTAATCCGCGTCTGAGAACTCACTAATGAAGAACTGGAAGAACTCATCATATCGGCAAAAAAAGGATGAAGAAGAAGAAGATAAAATAGAGGCGTGGTGGCCGCAACGGTTGATGCGTTGACACGGGGCTCATCACTCACAAATGGGCTTTTTTTTGTCAACATGTAACACCGACGGCCGAGGGTAGATATGACCTGTGCCTATTGCGAAAAAAAATATAATGAACAAAAGAAAAATTTGGAAAAATCTTTCTATTAGCTGAAAAGTTGAAAGACAAATTCATAGATTATGTTCCAATAGTGGAACGCAGCATCAACATAACACGAGCATTAACCTCTAGCAATGGACCCTCTCGAACCAAATTTCAAGCAGCTGAAAACCCAGACAATGCAGCCTCATATAACAATGTTCTTTGAGAAAGCTGAAAGAGCAAACTTCGCTGATTCATCACCTCACTTCTAACTGTGGAATTTATCTTTTTTTTAGCCCCTAATAATTTTTTTTCATTTGGTTCAATGTCGTGCATAAGTGCATACCTGTTGAAGTATGTATGTATATATTGTTTTCCTGCGTGGAATAAACTTTATGTGTGTTACCATACATTGTATTTTTCTTAATAGGGAAGAGGGACTGAAATATGTGCGCATAAGTTCATACAAAGCATTAACGATAGGTACACGCGATACAGAAATTCAAGGTATTTCCTATTATCCGCGGCGAGGCTTGGTATGTATCCCCCGCGGATAACAAGTCTACTGTAATTTCAATTTGTTAAAAAGTTGTATTTTGACTTTAACCAAGTATATTATAAAGGCCCTCGGGGCAAAACTGGCTAAGTAAAAACCAAAACTTTTCAGGATTGCTACTGTAAAGTATACATTTAATTTTTGTATGCGTAAAGTTTATCGTGCTCATATTTTATTAAATTCAATGTGGTTGTCCACGTATTTTTTTTTTTTTAATTTGTATAATTATTTCTTCATTTTCTCGTATTTATTCCATTATGAACCGACAATTATTCAGCTCTTATCACTTATTTAGGGTTTTATCATCCCACAAATAGCATTTTTTGTGTTTTGATTTGCGGTGGGTAAAACCGTATAAGACAAATTGTGTAGAAAACATTTTATTTTACAGGTGAGACAACTGCACTAATTCACTTTTTACCAACGAAACAAATTATAGAATTTTGACGTCACTTTTCAGGAAGACTAAAAAGGCACATTGCGCTTAAAAGAAAATGGTTTCCTTCTCGACTTAAGTATACACAGTCTGACAGGCCTAAAAACGTGTTGCAATAATTGACATCTCATTTGGCCAAATTTTGACATATCCAGTTTTGACTCGTGGCTGCAGATATTATACATTAAGAATATTTTTGTTTAACTATTTTTTATTCGAACAGAAAATTTATTAGAAATATGAAAAGCTGAATTATATTAAAACAAAAAGCTCAAGTTGATTTATAAAAGAGGTTGAATTGGGTTTGGGGATATAAGACTTTGGTATGTAAAAATATATAATAAAAATAATTTGGTTTGGGTATAGTTCATTTCGTTTGATGATCTGGTTTGGGGATAGTTCATTTTGTTTGATCTCGCTTGAGGGTGGTTCATTTTTTATTTGGTCTAGTTTGGGATAGTTCATTTTGTTTGATCTGGGTTAAAAAAAGATTCAATTTGATCAAGAAAAGGTATAAATTCAATTTAAAAAAATCAAAATAATTAGGGAAAATGTAATTTTGACGAGGTTGTTGCTGATTAACGCACAATTTACTCCGCAAAACTAACCAGAGAGAGAGAGTTCAGTAACATTTTCCAAATTCTTACAAATCTATTTCCTCTGCTGGTTTAGAGACGGGCGCTGGGGGTCCCACACGATCTTTATAGGCGGATCTATGTTGGATAGTTTTTATTAATAGTAGTAAATTCTTTGGAGGCTAGTCATTTTAGAGATACGACGGATTCTTGTCTTTAAATCGAGAATAGGCATGCAGACAGACCGATGTCACGAACTTTCAGACTAATAGGTTAATTAAAAAACAGCGAATCGTTTACTGTATAAATGTAGATTATTGAACTAAAAATTTTGAAATATTGTCCAGCGAGGATACACAAATATCGACTTGAAAAAAAGAAGATAAAACGAGGCGATTTAGTGGGAAAACGGTTGTACTTTCAGTTCAGCAGAATGCGTAAATATTTTTTTTTTATTCTTGAACACCGCCGTGGAGGTCCGAAATAGACACCAGTGGCATATATTATATGAGGTCAGTCATTTCCGCGTCGGAGTATTTACGGTGTTGGCTAAATCCGTAATTATTCCAAAATTACCGCTCAGCCAGACCTTTCACCACGCCTCCCACAGGGAAAGTTTTTTTTTCTGCGCTTGAATTTTTTCCGAGACGGTCTTAACTGAAGTTCAAGTCTCAGATCAAAATAATCTTTGAATTGCCGGCTCGAGACGAATTAATCATAAGCGAGATGATGGAAAAGGGTTTCACAGGATTCATGATTGATTCATGTGGTAAAATGTTGTGGTAAAAACAGATTGCATGTGCATCCATTTAAAGCGATTGTCTATTCCGTCTCTCAATTCATAGAATTAATTTATTAGTGCTCAAAAACACTTAGCACACCTCTGCTAAAGAAGCACATTACTCAAACAAGACTGACGAAAGTTGAATAAAGTAGTTTAACCCTTTGTGAACAACTCGGTGTAAACGTTCACCGGAAATAATCAGTATTGTTTTATTTTCAACCTAGGAATTATTCGACTAGAATTTCAAAATCAAGAAATATCATCTCGAGGTCATCAGGCCTGCGCTTTTGTTCTCTTGTAAATTTTCCCTCGCAATTATAAATATCGTCTATCCTTCCGAACTTTCTCCTGTCTCTGGAACATAATTTAGCATTTAGCACTGGAACAACTTCACCCACATGTCCTACAAAACTCGCATCTGGACTTAACGGGACTACGCAAAGGAATCTTGAAGCGGCTAAGTGATTTATTTCCGGATCAAGTCCCAACGAAGGAATCAACATTCAAATATATCAACGTCAAATTTATGTTGTATAAATGCGTAGAGATTAGTGACCGTTTATCGATAGTTATTCAGATATCGTGAGATGCGGTCGGGACGGACCGAGATCTTTGGTCAATCAAAATAACTTGCCCTCAACTTTTAATCTAGGATTATTCAGAAATCGTGAGAGCGGTCTGGTGTGATGTAGGTTTCAGAAAAACTTTTCTTTATCGTGCCAACGTTTCGATCTTTTATTGAGATCATCTTCAGGGCTCAAAGTATTTGTCTTCCGTGTAATTGTGCCCTCCTTGCGTGCCCCACTGAGTGAGGGCACTCTCAACACGACACGCAAGGATGGCACAATTACACAGAAGACAAACACTTTGAGCCCTGAAGATGATCTCAATAAAAGATCGAAACGTTGGCACGATAAAGAAAATGTTTTTCTGAAACCTACATCACACCCGACTGCATCTAACGATATCTGAATAATTTATGTTGTATATGTATGCTATTGGAAAAAACAAATATTACAGTTCTAATTTCATCTACGCCATTACTTTTCTGACCAAAGATTGTGTTTGCTATTGACATTTATTATTGATATTTTATATTTTCCTTATTTACTTTGATCGCTGAAAATCACACGAAGTCATATTGTGATAGTTCTCTTTCATCTGCAGCTTAAGACATTAGCAACGTCCGATTATCTACTGACAACAATTGAAAATATAAAAGAAAAAGGGTTAAAGACCGGCTAGGATTGGCTAGTATGATCCCGGTTATATAATTTATTTTGAGTGCGATGTTTGGCAAGTGTCAAGCTACAACGACCTACAACTCGAGAATTCCGCCAACTACCTGAGGGATTTTGCACTTGCGCAATTGATTGCTTTCACGAGGTGAAAATTTTTGCAAATCGAACCAAGTCGCTTTCATTGGTTTTAATACGGGTTTCTCTTTCGTAGCCGTCAAGTTCTGCCAAAGTTATCAACTTTGATAACGACATCGATCGGGTCGTAAAACGCTTGTGGCCGAATCGTTCGTTTCCGAAGGAGCAACCAAGTTGCGATATTTTATTATATAGACATCCCTTGGCATATTACGAATAGAAATTAGAATCAGCGATTATGTCCGGAATAAAGATGTGAGCGTTGATCAAAGAGTTGTATGAACTTGCAGTTATTAGAATAGAACCTGTTCCACAAAGGTCAATTAAGAGTTGCCCTGAGTCTTCACAGAACTGGTAAACTGTTTCCTCACATGTTAATACCATGTTGGGGGGCTTCGGTGGCCGCAACGGTTTAGGCGTTGACACGGCGCTCATCACTGTAAGGTAAAGGTCCCGGGTTCGAATCCAGCGGCCCCGCATTACAAATGGGTTTTTTTCAAAAACACCGCCACCCCTAGGGTTCATATAACCTCTGCTGTTGCGAACCCTCGTAAAAAAATACCATGTTGCGCTTTCAGATTTTAATTATATTTTTTATTATATTATGTTTTTTCTGGAGTATACGGTTAAATGTTTTTACAGTTATTTTGCTTGTAATTGTCATGCTGAACTCGCAGGTGGACGGACCC